GAATAGAGATGTAAATTCTGTAGAAACCTATAGACACTTGCAGGAGTTGAGCTTCTGAGCTATAATTACCAAGTTCTTGCCTTGTTCTTATCTCTGCCAGATGGCATAGATATCATTGCATACAACCAATGGCATTACCCTTCCTCCCACAGTGTTTTCCCAGTAACTCCTCCAGGAGTCTATAGTTAGACTCCTAATGTGTTTCTTTCTCTGTGTCCTACCTACCTACTTTTTCTCAAAAGAAACAAAGAGCAAAACTTAAAGATAATGAAGGGGATGCATACGTTGTCAAAGAGAAGACAAATACATAAAAGCACTTTAACAAAAAAATAATATGTCATTGCAATAATAGTTTTATATACTTTCTAATGCAAATGTTGTTCAAATATGTACATTTCTCCAGCACTGGAGATGGATAATCCACGCAGTGGGTTGAGACTGTATTCCTGGCCAATCAGATCAGTCAGCCAAAGTTGGCACGCCCCGTCTTGGACCATGATCCTCCAGTCTTGACTGATCTTGCCATGAAGAGAAATCTACAATTTTTGGCTCCTGGGCAGGTATAGTTCCTTTCCATTAGGGGGGATTTTTTCTAGTAGCTGAAATTGCTTAGTTTAAAAGTTAATTAGAGATAATTTAATTCAATTTAATTGACCACTCAAAAATTTCCTTGCTAAATTGTAAAACTCAGGAAGTCAGATTCCTACAGGGGAAACCTCCCCCACTTAAAAGGGGGAAATCCCTAACTCCCCTCCCTAACCAACCCCAGCCACCTTCCAGCAGCCAGCAGCCGCCTTAAACAAACGGGGAGGCTCGGGCAACCCCTCGCGTTTAAAACAAACAAACAAAAAAAAAAAAAAAAGACAGAAAGGCAAGCAGTTAGCGAGGGAAGCGGAGGACAAAGGGGACGCATGCTGGGAGGGAGATTGATTAAGGGAAACAGCTGGCGTGCGAAGGAGCAGTCTTTTCACTCCAGGCTGCTCAGGATTTTTTAAACGAGGCGCCATTGTCTGCACAGCTGGAAGCACGCGCAGCTCTTTGTTACAACCGCACGTGGCATAGGCAGCCTTGTTAACACATGCGCAGTAGTTTCCTGGCAGCGGCGGCCATATTTTTTGTCCAAACAGGGGAGTTAAAGTTCCTTAAGAAAGCTAGGTTCAGCCGCTGGAGTGAATAATAGGCAAGCAGTACTGGGGTACTAAAGCATCTATTAGTCATTCAGAGACATTCAAATCAGACACATAGCTACTGGTTCCAGGACTTGGTGTCTTCTACCTAAAGTAAATAAGAACCTTTCATAACTAACTGTGTTTAGTTGCCTTTGGCTCCTTCCAGACTTCGGGTCCCCCATTAGTGGCCCGTACGCCTCTGGATTTAGTGGTGGGTTCCAGGCATCCCCAGTCGCGTGCCTGTCCTTACCCACCATAGTCAAGCCGGGTTCCAGGCATTCCCATTAGCGTGCCTGTTCTTATCCGTGCACAGTGACTAACTCTGACAATTTGGCAGAGTCTGCTCCTGAGTTCCAGACGCCCCCAGTAGTGCGCCTGTCCTTACTCAAAGTTGGAGCTCTCCTACTACCTGGGTCCCCCCTATCGCGGCCCAGCGTTAGTGGAGAATGGAGGAAGCAATCATTCCCTCCACTGGAGCCCCGCCTTCATCCTCTGGAGCACCTGCTTCAGAGGATTCGGAATCCTCTGCAGCCCCTAGAAAGGCTGCAAGGAAGTCATCAAAGAAGGCTGACAAACAGGCAATCAGAAGACACCAAGCCCTAGAAAAAGAGTTCGACAGAGCCCAGAAAAGGGCCAGAATTGAAAATAGGCAGAATGGGGGAATAGGTTCTGATCTACCGCTGGGTCTCCCTTCATCCCCACGGGCCATTTGGTCATTAGGGAGCTCATCACAGTCCCAAACAGAGGGTGGGATAGGCGAATTCTCATCGCTCTCCCGATCCCCCTCCCCACGGAGGTTACAGGAAACCCCGAGGACCATGCTAACCACAGCACCTGCAGGGTCGCAGGCAATGGTCACTCCTCCTGCATTGACGGGGGATCTGCTAGCTACCCTAATAGCACAGGCAGTGGACCGTGCATTTGAGGCCAGGGCTCAAACTTCAAAAGCCAAGTCTCTAGGACTTAGAACGAGGCATCGGGAGGAAACGGAGGACCATCAGGACCTCTCCTCCGTCTCAGACTCGTCGGTCTCTGAGGAAGCTTACCTGGACCAGCCAGGTACGTCACAAGGGATTCAAATGTCTGAGGAGGAGGAGGACACCTCACCTCAAGGGCCGTCCTTCAGCGGCCTGTTTAACCCTTCTCTTTTTGTTACTATTCTGCGCAAGGCTGAGGCCACAGCCCATCTGGGGCATGGGACACCAGCGGAGCCTGTCACAGTTGACACGGAGGCTGAGCCGACGTTCGCCGAAAAGGTAACCACTCAACACCGCATACCATGCCCGACCATGTTCCTAAACACAATAAGGAAACAGTGGGCAGCGCCAACC